CAAGCTCTGGTACAGTAACGGCTCTATGGCGCTTAGCTTCTGGATTTACGATTTCATTAGAAAGTCGTTGGTCCTTGGTTTGTAAGATTCGAGTGATCGTAGACTCATTAACTTTGACCCCCCATTTTTCTTCAATCCACTTCACATATTCTGGGCGGGTCTTCTTATTATCACGGGCATAGACACAGAATTCAAATTTTTGTGTGTCCGTTAAGGTTGTTCTTTTTGGCATTATTTAAAAAACAATGTATGAAAAAATTAGAGGGGCGCAAGAATCTTGCTTAGAGAACGCAAAAGCGTTGTTTATCAAATTTAGAGGGGCACCGGGAAATGTTAAAAAAAAAAAAAAAAAAAAAATTAGAGGGGCGCAAGAATATTGCTTAGGGAACGCAAAAGCGTTGTTTATCAAATTTAGAGGGGCCACTAAAGCGGCAGATTCATTATTTAATACTTTTTTTTTTTTTTTTTAATCATTTTTTAAAACCGGATTGTTCTTTTAATTAAAGAGTTAATTAAAAAAGATCTAATTAAAGATTTAATTAAAAATGAATTAATCAAATACGGTCTTTAATAAATACGCCATCAAATTTTTTTTTTTTTAAAAAAAAAAAAAAAAAAGAAAAAAGAACAAAGAACAAAGAACCCAAAAAAGCAGTTAATTGAAAATTAGATCTATGGAGGTTACACATCGTCTGCGAAATTTTATTGGTCAATACAATTTATCAGCACGTGATAGTGCATTTACGGAAGGTAGCCTAATAGTAAAATTAAATGCACGTGCAGAACATAGAGGGTGTGCACTTAACACTATGGTCCCAGCTTGGGACCGGACTTTAGAGTGCATTTATAGAGGGTGTGCACTTATAGAAGTGCACTTAGAGAGGTCTGACTGTAAAAACGCACCATTTTCTGGGTAATTTGGGTTTACGCCTTTCGTTTGCGTCACATGCTATGTGCAATGACGTAACAGTTGCACAATCACATGATCCGAGTTCCCGTGAGTTGTCCTAGCCAATTTTAGTTTGTCTTCCAATAAAAAAATTTTACTTAAGGTTTATCTTTTCACCAATTATTTTAGCGGGCAAATTTGCCTGCTAAACCCGGACGGTTTAAGGGATAAATTGTAATAATATAATGTAATAAAATCATGTACTTAATATTTTTTTATAAATCGCAATAATGTAATAAAAACCAATGATTAATAATTGCGCAATAAAAATCAATGATTTAAATCAAGAGTAAATCATTTTTAAATCATGAAGTTTGATTTAAATCATGATTTTTACCATCTCTAGCTGGAACACACAAAAGCTTGCTTGGAAAGTCTTGAGTAGAGAGGTACATAGCACAAACTTTTGATAGTACTATATAAAGGAATACTAACTGAGGAACTAAGAAACTGGACAGACTGAGATGTTTAGCAAGGCACTATTCCAACCAGACTGCTGATATATATTGAAGGAAGGGGTCTACCCTTTTGGGCTATCTGGATTGAGAGTTTATGATTTGTATAGTGTATGCTGTAGTTTGGATGAACTTTACAAGGCCAAAAGTAGATAATAGTAGTGGCTTCAGCTTGCAAGTACTTGTCCTCAAACTTAACATAAGTTACTGAAGTCTAGGTTAGCTAGTTGTGAATATGCAAAGCTTTAACAATGATGCTTTGAGGATAAATTAGTCCTAAGTGAATAGGGAAAGCATCTGGACTTCTCAACTGACAAATGTAATGGAGATGTACTGGTGATACAAGGGGATTGCATTACAGAAAGTTTAAATAGATAATCCCCTAGTTGGGTTATAAGTATGGCAAATAATGTAATCTCTATGATGTAATACTGATATGCAGACTACTTAAATAGGCAACCAAAAGTTGCATGTATGGCTAGGTTCCATTGTATGCCTCCCCACCCAAATGACTTGAATAAAAACCTTAGCCCCAATAGCATTATTTTTTTCTGCACACATTACAGTATTAGAATTATTCAATACCATATTGTCGCGAAATAACGCGTAGGGCGTTATTTAGAATAATGGCCCGAATTAAATTTAATTTAGGCCAAAATTTGTAATTTCACCCCTGCGCATTATTTCGCGACAATACGGTAATACTATTTATTGTTTCTATCATATCAGAAAACAAAATCATGAAAAAAATAGTTTAAAGTTCTTAATCTATGCTATACAAAACTTGTTTAATTTTAAAGCTTAAGATGGTTTTATGCATGTATTATGTTTTGAATTTGTTTTTAATAAATAGGTTGTTTTGCTATTACATGCCGTAAATTCTTTTTTTCCTCCACAAAATAAAGGCATAAATCAAAATTGATTAATGAATAAGATTGGTATAGCAAAAGCAAGCGGTCTAATTTATTATATAATATTTTTATGAAATAACTAATTAATTCTGTAATTGATCAAAGGACTATAAAAGGTTATCCTCTTAATGGCTTCCACTAACTACAGTAATTATAAAACATTTTTACCTATATGAACCATAAATAACAAACTTATTTGTAGCAGAGTTTACGCATTTTTGCATATTTGAAATACTTCATAATCATCTATTGAAAATCTACGATTTGCTGCGCTTCTGATTGGCTGTTGATAATCTGTGCCATTATAATAATGCCATGTTTTAGGACCATAAGAATCATCAAATCCAAAATCGTAAAACCATGGACCCCGACTAGGGCGACAACAAATTGCAGATGATTGATTACTTACACGACTAAGAATAGATTCTTTCATATTCTAGTTTTTTAAAGAAAAAATAAAGCTATTGGGTGTCGCTTTATTTTCATTTATTGATTCCCAGCCAAGAGGATTATATCCACCAAGTATTTCATTTGAATTTTTAACTTTTACGGCAACTATTAAGTCACGTATGTTATCACATAATTTATGAAATATTTTGGCATCAAACCCATCTCTACTACCTCTAAGAATCAGTTTGAACTCATATGGAATTTCTGTAATATCATAAGTTGTTGAACGTCGATCTATCCAGGAAGAAATTTCCGCTGCATGTTCTAAATTAATTATGGATGAAGGAATAAATATTGATCTTCGAGGAGGAAGTTGAGCTGTCAATTTTTTACGAGGAGGTAAAATTGTAGAAGTAATAGGCTTATTTGGAGATACAAGTTTTGTAATAATATCATCCCACAAATTTTCTTCAATAATTTTTTTATAAGATCATATTTTTTCTAAGACTTCATCACCGGGAATTTGAAAATACCTAATATAAGGTAAACAATTTTGAAGAGTAATTTTTAACAATTTAAATTTTCATTATTCCATTGCTCATAATTTGAAGGTAAATTTGGAGTTTGCGCTTTTTCTCATAAAATAACTTTATCCCAAATCACAGATTCTTCTAATTGTAAATTATCATGTTTTAAGAGAGAAATCAAAGCATTTTCTTGAAGAGTGGTGAACTCATCAGAATCAAAAACTAAATTTGGGTGTTTTATAATAATATCATTACAGAATTTCTGTAAAGCTTTAAAATTTTCATTTTGAAAACTAATCTTATAAATGTGAGAAAAATTCAATCGAAGCCAGGATGCATTATCTTCAATAAGACGAGTTTGAAGACAATCAACAGATTCTGAAAAGCTAAATTCATTGAAGGCGATCAAGAGATCAAGTATGTCAGAAGTTTCAAGGTTCTCCAAAGAGACTACACCGCCATAAATATATCTACAGTACATAAAGAATTATTTAAAATAAAAAACTATTAATTTTATTTATTTATAATAAAGCTTGAACTTACTTAATAATAATATTAAATGCTTTAGCAGAAAGATTAGGTATTTTAATATTAAAGATATTATTTCCTTTAATCATATTTGTTATTTTCCGTTGAAAATAGGAAGAGCGTTGATATAAAATTGCAGAATGTACTTTGAAAAGTTGAGTATTTGGCTGTTCACCAACTTAAAAATTGTATCATACTTGTATTCACTTTCAAGAAGTTTGATAAAATCTTGCGAAAGTTTATCATGAAATATCAATATTTGAAAATACAAGATAAATAAAGTTATGCCTGATCGACAGGCATGCATTGATAAAGACCTAGCTGCTGCACCAATTTTGTCACGATTTTGATTGGCTAACGAACGTGATCTACAAAATTTTGGCCCGTATTACATAATTGTTTACGTAATTTTGACCGGAATAACTTTTTCATTCTGAAAATGGAAATTTTTAAAGAATAGGTTCGTATAATTGTAAAATTAGCCTAGAAACAATTTTCATTTAATGGATGGCTATGGTTTCATTAGTAAAATTTTAAGTAACTTCAGCCTAAACTTTTGAATATCGCTCTTTGTCAAGAACTAGTGTGATGATTGGCACGAACATGCTATTGACCCGTCTAAAAAATCTCCACCCGGGTCACCCGTCGGGTGGACAATGTGCCACCCGGGTGAAAACGGGTCAGTTTAAAAAAGTCGCCACCCGGGTCACCCGACGGGTCACCCGATAGATCACCAAGTCAATTAAAAAACAAAC